CCGTTCAGGATCTTCACTGCAGATGCGTATCTTCCAACCACAAAATTTCATGTGGCTTGCATGTGCAGGCTAAACCACTCGCACCGCGCAGCTCATCTTCCCCGCGCATCAAATCTGAAAAAATTGCAGCACATGTCATAAACTATTTTTTTTGATTGTTTAATTTCTTTTAAAAGTCTAATAATCATCAGTCTAAAAATAGTGGAGCTTATAAAATTCGAAATCAGGAGGACGTTTCCGCAAAAAAGCCGAGGGCAAATAAAAGGGAGCAGGACGCGGATTTTGCAGCCGGACGACGACACAATTGTTTAATTTCTTTTAAAAGTCTAATAATCATTAGTCTAAAAATAGTGGAGCTTATAAAACTCGAAATCAGGAGGGCGTTTTCGCAAAAAAACCGAGGGCAAATAAAAGAGAGCAGGACGCGGATTTTGCAGCCGGACGACGACACCACCTTCCGTTTCCCCTCTTCCGCCCACCGAACCCCCATAAATCTCTTAGCGTCTCCTCGTCCTCCTCCCACATTCTCCCTACAATGTGTGAAAATAAGGGGAACCCTAATATTTTGCATCTTTATCTCGTTTTCCTCATCGGCATCTTGCTCGCCGGAGCTGGGATCGTCTCCGCCGCGGGGGGCGGAGGTGGAGGCGATGCTGAGGCCATGGAGGAGTTCTCGAAGAGCCTGAAGAACCCCCCGAATGACTGGATTCCTGGTTCGGATCCCTGCTCTTCGAAATGGACGGGGGTATTGTGCTCCGGCGGCCGCGTCACTGGCATCAATCTTCGAGGTGTGGGTCTCGACGGAACCTTACCTTCTTCACTCTCCTCGCTTACCGGATTGCAATCCCTGTTTCTCCCTGGAAACCAGCTTTCCGGACCGCTTCCCTCGCTTGGCAACCCCACCATTCGGGAGATATCCGTCGGTTCTAACTCCTTCACTTCCGTTCCACCTGATTTCTTCTCCGGTCTGTCAGGACTCCAGAAGATCTCTCTCGATAACAATCCTCTTGCACCGTGGGAGCTACCCGATTCTTTGGCCGATTGTCCCCTCGTCTCCATCTCCGCATCCAATGCCTCCATCTCAGGTACCCTTCCTGATTTCTTCGATCGCCTCTCGTCCCTCCAATCCTTCCGCCTATCGTACAATAACCTCTCCGGTTCGCTCCCCGCTTCTCTCCCCCGATCCCCTATCCGTGAGCTCCTCCTCAACAACCAGCAGGGCACGAAGCTATCCGGTCGCATTGACGTCATCGGACAGATGGACCAGCTTTCCCTTCTCTGGTTGCAGTCTAACGCATTTTCAGGGCCTATTCCTGACGTATCCAACCTCACCAGCCTTCAGTCCTTCAATGTCCGCGACAACGCCCTCACAGGCGTCGTCCCTGAACCCCTCATTACTTTATCCACGCTCAAGAACGTGTCATTATCGAACAACGACCTTCAAGGCCCCATGCCTAAGTTCGGCACGGCTGTCTTGTCCGACATTGACAAGGGCAATAACTTCTGCCTCCCGGAGGCCACCCCTTGTGATATCAAGGTGACGCAGCTGCTTGAAGTGGCGGCCCGGGTGGGCTAAACCCCCCTCGTCGTGTTTGCTAATTCGTGGACTGGCAACGATCCCTGCGGCGGGAGTAGTGGCTGGTTTGGTGTAATCTGTGATCAGAAAGGGAACGTCGCCGTGCTTAATTTTGCAAACCAGCATCTTGCAGGCTTTATCTCGCCTGAGATTGCTAATATCTCTTCGCTTACAAAGGTGATTCTGAACAACAACAGCCTGACTGGCATCATCCCCAGTTCGCTCACCAATTTGCGTCAGCTGCAGCTGCTTGATGTCTCATATAACCAGCTCACTGGGACTATTCCCAACTTTGCATCTACAGTGAAGTTGATTACAAATGGCAACGATTTTGGTTCTGATTCTTCTGGGGGCTCTCCTGGTCCTGCATCAGGTGGGACGTCAGGTTCTTCATCTTCAAGAAATCAGAATGGTAAGTCGAAGTCATCTGCAGGATTTATCGTGGGGATACTGTTAGCCGTTTTAGTTTCGGTAGGGTGCATAGCTGGTCTTGTTTATTGCATCCATCGTCGCAAGAAGAAGATGGAGCTACTAAAGAGAGTCCAAATGCAAACCTTTCCTGAGAATCATGAGGTATTTAAGGTTGGGATGTTGGCTCTGAGTGACAATAACACAGTTGAGAGCGAAACTTACCCGCAGAGCAGTTATGGGGAGAGTTCTGATACCAAACTTCACAGGGAGAACGGTGAGAACATAATCTCCATTCAAGATCTTCGAAAGGCCACAAATAATTTCAGTGAAGACAACATTTTGGGCAAAGGTGGGTTTGGAGTTGTTTACAGAGGAGTGCTAAGTAATGGGATGGTGGTTGCTGTCAAAAGGTGTGTGCTTGATATGTGGAGCATGAAAGGGGTGGCAGAGTTCAAGGCAGAGATTGGCCTTATTGGGAAGGCAAGGCATAGGCATTTGGTGTCCTTGGTTGGATACTGTGAGCATGAGAGGGAGAGGCTGTTGGTTTATGAGTATATGCCGGAGGGAACTTTGGCGCAGCACTTGTTCGATAGGGAAGGGAGCCGGTATTGTCCTCTAACTTGGAAGCAGAGATTGACAATAGCCCTGGATGTGGCCAAGGCTATGGAATACCTGCATAATTTTATGCAGGGAAGTTTCATCCATAGAGATCTGAAGCCCTCAAACATTCTGCTGGATAAGGATTTAAGGGGCAAGGTTTCGGATTTTGGTCTTCTCAAACTTGCGGGAGACAATGAAAAGTCGATGGCGACACGGTTGGCTGGGACATTTGGATATTTGGCACCCGAGTATGCAAGTGAGTTTTTTTTTTCTGTCATAGGATTTATATATTTGTTCGTTATTCTCATATTTTATCATTTACAACATCTATTGTAGTGAAAATTTTTGTTTTGCGCCTGAATGCAAAAGAAAAAGTGCAATCAATTGCATCTCTGCAAATCAGAAACTATCTTCTTTATGTTCTAACAAACTGGAAAAAATGGAAAGAAGGAGGCTTTTAAATTGTCCAACATGATAATCTTCTTTCATCCATGATCATATTGTATTTGTTATTGTATATTTTAAGAGATGGCTATTTTGAAGTTGTAGGAATCGTACGTTCCATCATGAGCCCCAAAGAAGAGTTGAGGTTTAGATGAACATTTCTGAAGTATTTATGGGCGCTGAAATGAATGCATTATTCTCTTGTGAGAGTTGTGTTTTAGGTAAAATTTTTAAATGATAGATTGGATTACAGATAAGCACTACCTAGATATTTCACTTTTATTTTGCTCGGAGTTTACATTTGATTATAGGTTTCCATGGGCACAAGCTATTATAGTTAATTAACTTTTCTAATTGTGAGAGAAAACTTTTAATCATTGATAGCTAGTAGGCACTAAATGCTTCGCTTATAGTGATATGATTTTGTTGTGTTGTTGAGAAGAGGCATATCTTATTTAGCTTAGTGTGAATGGTGGGGGAATAATAACAAATTTAATCAAGATTCCATGGTTCTGTTATCTTAGGTTATTGTGGATTCTATTTTATTTAGTTAAAGGAGGCAGTTGACTCACCTAATCGAATGATTCTTATTAGCATTTATGAGTTGCATTATCCAAGGAGATTTGCGGACCTGGGTTAAGTGTTTATCTAAAAAGACAATTTTAAGTGGATTTTAGCTAACAAAGGGATTTGTTTTATCAAATGCACTTTATAATTCAAAACTCAAGAGATGGAGTTGTTGAGAAACTTTCGAGCTTTGATAAGTGATTGTACTTTAATGGATTTATTTATAATGCTCTCTCTCTCTCTCTCTCTCTCTCTCTTCTTTATAT